CCAAACCTTCGAGGACGATGGACTCCCCATGGTCGCCGGCCTCTGCTGGTGATTCACTTGCTCGGGTAAGCTCACGCTGAACCGTGCAAGTTCGTTCGGGGATGGACAGACCCTGCTTTAGTAAAACGTGGTCTAGTGAAAACGACCTGAGGCCCAAACCTGGCGGGCGCGAGCCTGGAAAATAACGGCCGCGGCGCCCTCTCGAGAACCGAAAACGGACAATTCACTAATCGACGTGACACTGTTGGGGGTTCTGTCCACCCCCGATTCGTTTCCAATCCGAACCGATCGCTCGTCATCTGGGCGAAAAAGTCGGGGGGCCAGCAAGAACTCATCGCTCCGAAGGCGAGATGGGGGCCCCGGCCGCGGGCGCCCGGGATCACGAATGGGGGCCCTCGGCCGCGCGGGCGGGGCGTCGGCCCCGCCGGATTTGGCCGTGCGGAGAGCCCAGCCTCCAGCGGCCCCAGCGCGTCCAAGACCGCCAAGATGGCCTCCAAGACGGTCAAGATGGGCCCAAGAGAACCCAAGATAGCCCCAAGATGGCCTCCGAGATGGTCCCAAGATGCCTCCAAGACCACCCAGATGGCTCAAGAGAGCCCAAAACGGCCCAAGAAGCGCCCGAGAGGCCCCCAAGAAGGCCCAAGAGGCCTCCAAGAGGTCCTCCAGGGAGGCCCGCAGAGGCCAAAACCATGGATTGTCTCAGATGTTTGAAAGATTTTGGCACTTGCTTCAAAATGGCCTTCCGACGGCCCAAGGCCGCCCAGGAGGCCCCTAAAAGATCGCCAGAGAGGCCTCCAAGATGGCCCACGACGGCCCCAGAGGCCCCCAAGACGGCCCCAACAGGGCCCCAAGACGCCCCAAGAGGCGTCCAAGACGCCCAAGATGGCCTCCAAGACGGCTCTTCACCGCTCCAAGAAAGCCCCAGATGGCAGCAAGATGTATGCAAGACGGCCCAAGATGCAGCCCTGAGGATGCGGGGCTTCTAAGGGGATGGCAAGGCGGACTGTATCTGGCCGAACCTAGCCTACCAGTGGGTTGCACGTGCCCTAAGCTGCTTACGGGCGAAGTGGGCGGAGCTCACTTAGCAGAGTTACCCAATCCATTTAAGCCGGGCAGTCGCAACCCATTTACAATCCAGGTCAGGCCAGATACGACCCACATCAGCATCCGCTCAGAACCCCCCTATCCCCTGAGCGACCTCAGCGGCGATCCAAGTAGAGAGATTATGAGGAAAATCCTGGAGGCATAGCGCGGCAACTTGAGACCAAATTTACGTCGGATACACGTCGGATGTACGTCGGGTTCACGTCGGACTACGTCGGAATTACGTCGGACTTACGTCGGACTGACTCCGGAGCATCGCCGCTCGAGCGTCGACCCATAGCTTACGAAGCTGACGTGTGGACTAGATAACACTACCACTGCGCGCCGCGCGAGGCCTCCAGGATCTGTTCCTTAAGAGAGAGAGAGAGAGAGAGAGAGAGAGAAAGAAAGAAAGAAAGAAACAAAACAAAACAAAAAAAAAAAAAAAAAAAACGGGATAGAGAGAGAGGCAGGCAGGAGAGGCAGGAGAGGCAGGAGAGGCAGGAGGCGGCCGCCTTCTCGGCGCCCTCCTCCTCCTGCTCGGCCTCGGCCTCGGCCTTCTGGGCGCCCTCCGGGTCGCCGTCGCCCCCGGCCGCGGCCTGGGCGAGCCGGGCGGGCGGGCTGGGGAGCGCCACCGCGGGGGCCTGGCGGTGCGGCAGCAGGCACCACTGCGCAGGGAGTGGCGCGCGCCTTCGCGGAGGTCGCGCTGCGTGCGGCGGGGGGCAGAGCGTTAGGAGCGGCGAACACACAGTGGGGACCCGACCACCAGAAACCTTCCACCAGAAGCCTTCCACCAGAAGCCCAACCCTGAGACCCCAGGACGCCCACTGATTCTCGCGCTTCCCAGCGCAGAACCATCGAAACCCGAGAGACCCAGGGCACCCTGGAAGCAAGCAGGGCGTTTCTTGGCATGAGCTTCCACTGTATGTCCGTAGCCGCAAGCTCTGCCTGGACCAGGATGACATAGTCCTCGGTCCACTGAGAGAAAGAACAGGTCTGTATAAAGCCCGTTAAAGGTTGTGCCTGAAAAGGGCGGGTGCCTGTATGCACCGATGAGGAAGGCCACGACGTTCGTGGTGATGGTTGTGCCTGAAAGGCGGGTGCGTATGTCCGTAGCCGCGCTCTCGCGGTCTGGACTCCGGGGCGCGGTCCCGCGGATGCGCGGTCGCACGGCCACGCATCGCGCGGGGCACCCGCGTAACAAGCGCCCGGCGTCGGCGGGGCCGCGGCCCTGGGGCCCGGCCCGCGAGGCCGCGGAGGCGGATGTGCCTTTCGCTCGCGAGAGGGGGCGCGGCGGACAGAGGAGCCGGCCGAGCGGAACGAACAGACTGCAGCGCGTTTTCTACTCCCTGTTGTGCCGCGCCTTTTGACGAACGAGCAACACACACCCATACCCATAGGGGGGGTCGTTGGGAGGAGGACTGGCTATGGGTATGGGTGCGGGTTGTCGGACCCTGGGGAACGCTCCCGTTCGAGCGGGGACCCCCATCCGACAACACGCACCCATAGCCCTCTCCCCCTCTATGGGTATGGGTGTGTGTTGTTGGTTCGTCACCTTTTGCTGCGTGCATTCAGGCCGCGCCCGCCAGTGGTCGGGGACGCACTGATCCAGGTTGGCGCAGGCCCGGGTCGGTGAGGGCCCTGTCGCGCAGCCCGTGTGGCCGCTCATCAGAAGGCAACTCCTGGGAGGCCTTCGTCAGAACGGGGAGGAGCTACCAAGCCCGATGCAGGGGCCATTGAGCCGGATTCGGCTGGATGAAGCCCGGGAGCAAGCCAGATTGAGCGGGACTGAGCGGGAACCAATTGTTGGCCTCGTTGAAGCCGTCGTGGGGCCGTCTTAGGGCCGCCTTGGGCGCCTTTGGGGCGCCGACCTTCCCGATACCCAGACATCCGACAATGTAGTTCTCTCGAGGGCGGCCTCAAGAGCTTCAACCCCTCCGCCAAGGGCGGTTCTTCGCCCCGGCTCAATGTTTGATTGCCCCGCGAAGCGAGAGCGGTCCCCAGAAGCCGAAGCTGAGGGAAGACGCCCACATTCACAATACCAGTTCGCGGCAGGTCTGGGGAACAGCTCCAGGAGGAAACGCCGAGCTTGAATAGGAGATACATCGTCGACGGATCGGCGATGGGCCCCCGATAGCCAGACCGCAGGTTCCTGAGCTGCGTGCGCTACCACGCCCGCATCGGCGATGACTGGGCGTTGGGGCGTCTCGGCGTTGCCCCTCCTCTCTGCCTCTAACGTGGCCTCCCCTCTCCCGAGTTCCGACAGGGCTTCCAGCGGATCGCCCGCCCCCAGGGGGGGGGGGGCCGGCCCGGCCCGAGGGCCTCCTCCTCCTCCTCGCAGAGCTCCAGGCACCCGAACTCCACGGCGCCGGTTCCGCTCTCTAGGAGGATGGGCAGCATCACGATGCCTTCGGCCTGGGCCGCCGCCAGCGCCGCCGGCGCAGGATGTTAAAACGTCGTCACTGACTTTGCTGGGCCTCCTCCTCCTCCTCGTCCTCCGTCTCCTCCTCCTCCTCCTCCTCCTCCTCCTCCTCCTCCTCCTCCTCCTCCTCCTCCTCCTCCTCCTCCTCTCCTCTCCTCCTCCTCCTCCTCCCTCCTCCCTCCCTCCCTCCCTCCCTCCCCCTCCCTCCCTCCCTCCCTCCCTCCCTCCCTCCCTCCCTCCCCCTCCCTCCTCCCTCCCTCCCTCCCCTCCCTCCTCCTCCCTGCTCCCTCCTCCTCCTCTCTCCTCCCCCTCCTCCCTCCTCCTCCCTCCTCCTCCTCCTCCTCCTCCCCCTCCTCCTCCTCCTCCTCCTCCTCCTCCTCCTCCTCCTCCTCCTCCTCCTCCTCCTCCTCCTCCTCCTCCTCTCCTCTCCTCCTCCTCCTCCTCCTCCTCCTCCTCCTCCTCCTCCTCCTCCTCCTCCTCCTCCTCTCCTCTCCTCCTCCTCCTCCTCCTCCTCCTCCTCCTCCTCTCCTCCTCCTCCTCCTCTTCATCCTCCTCATCCTCCTCCTCTTCCTCCTCCTCCTCCTGCGGCACAGATTGACAGAGCAACAAGGTTAGGTACGTAACCGACACTTGAGAGCTCATCCAGGCCCGAGCTCAGGATTGCTCGGCAGCATTCAGCAGAGCCAGCGAGGAAGCCGCAGACGAGGGCTCCGCTGAGGTTGGCGGCCTGCTGGCAGGCGTTCCGACCCTGGCGGTGCCCACATCTGGCAGCCCCTCAACTGGCTCAGGAAGGGCAAAGGCCTGCACCTCGGCAGGGGCCCACTTCCCACGCAGCAGCACCTTGCTGCCTTCGAAACCACGGAGAACTCGGCGGCCCCATGCGGTGGGGTTTCCGCAGTCGCCACCAAGCTTGAGAACATGGACGGAGCTGAGCGCTCCACAACTCGCACAAAATACCCCGTTCCTGCCATCCGCCATGGTCCACCTCCTGAGCCTATGCCGAGGGTCAACGCTCACGGTGGGCGTAGGCTCAGGCGGCGGGGGCAACGACGGGACGACTGGCGGCGACGACGCAGCAGCACGGGCCTGCCTCCGCTGCGCGCGGGCAACCTTGAGCTGCTTCGCTGTGAGGCGCTCGGTGTCGAGCGCGGCATGGATAAATGAGCGAGCAACCCGCACACAGGCAGCTCGGACGAGCTGAGAGAACTTCCGAAACCTCTCACGGAAGGAGGGGGCCACTCGCCAGGACTTGGCAATCCGTTTCGCCCACTCATCTGCTAGAGAGTTGCCTGCAAGCTGACGGGCGGTCAAGGTCAGGCGCTGCTCTGGGGTGGGGTGGGCCTTGACCTTCACAACACTCACACTCTCAGGTCCCACCCCACCCCAGACCTCGATCCTCTGCCAAATCTCCTCCCATACAACCGGGTGAGCGGCTGTGAGGCTACAGCAAGAAGCACGCCCGCGCATGACACCTTTGCACACGAAATCGCGGTTGGCGTGCATACAAGCGGGCGGCAGCGCGATACGTACACAGCATGCGATGGAAGGCCACCAGCTCAGCACGACCGATGCACTGGATGGCTGAATCAAGCCCGCCACCAAACACTCAGGAAGGAAAAAAAGATTGGCGGCGACGAGGCGGCAGCGGATCTGAAAAAAGAGAGCGACCACGACCCACGCTGCGACGGCAGCATGCGGCAGATGCGGTTCAAAGAGGGATCCATCAACAAACACGTCGCCAGTGATGTGATGCGCCTCCCCCAGATGCATCTGCTCAGGCGCAACCTCAGCCCTCAGCGGGAAACGATTCCACGGAACGAGCCCCCGCGCCCCCAACAGCGAAACCAGCTCCGACGGTTCCTGCGGCAGGGCTTGGCGGAGGGCTCCTTGGGGCTGAAGGTTTGCGGCAGTCAAACTTCTGCAGAGCAAATGTCGGTCATACAACATGACGAGACCTCAAGCTACACCCACTGGAACTCTGACCCGAAGCCCAAACACGGTGGCGGGAAGACCCGAAGGCCACACCACCACCACCACCACAAACCACCACACCACCACCACCACCACCACCACCGCCACCGCCACCACCACCACCACCACCACCACAACCACCACAACCCACCAGCACCACCATCACAAACAACTGCATCACCACCACCACCACCACAAACGCCACCACCACCACCACCACAACCCACCACAACCCACCACGATCACAGCCACCACCACCACAAACGCCACCACCACCACCACCACCATCACCATCACCACCGCATACCACACCACCACCACCTCCCACCCACCACCACCACCACCACCACCACCACCACAAACCACAACCACCACCACTTCCGCCACCACTACCACACACCGACCAACACCACCAACAGGCCCACCAGCAGCAGCAGCAGCACCACCACCACCACCACAAACCACCACGCCACCACCACCACTACCACCACCGACACCACCACTACCACCACCCTCACCACCACAACCCACCGCCACCACTAACCACCACAAACAACCACACAACCACCACCACCACAACAACCCACCACCACCACAACAACCCACCACCACTACCACCACCACCACCACAACAGTCCACCACACCACCACCACCACCACCACCACCACCACCACCGCTACAACCACCACCACCACAACCCACCACCACAACCTAAACCACAAACCACCCCACCACAAACGCCACCACAAATCACCACACAACCACCACCACCACCACAAACCAAACCACCACCACCACCACCACCACCACGACCACCGAACAACCACCACCTCACCACCACCACTGCCACCACCACAAACGCCACCACCACCACCACAACCACCACAACCCACCACCAACATAACCACCACCATCACCGCAAACCATTACACCACCACCACCACCACAAACCACCACACCACCACAACCACCACCACAACCACCACCACAACCTTCACCACCACAAACCACCACACCACCACCACCACCACAACCACCACCACCACAAACCACCGCACCACCGCCACCACAACCTTCACCACCACAAACCACCACACCACCACCACCACCACCACCACAACCACCACCGCCACCACCACCACCCACCACCACCCACCACCACCTCCAACACCAGCACCACCACCACCACCAGCACTACCACCACCAAAGCGACAGCCCACCACCACAAACACCAGAACCACCACAAACCACCCCAGCGCCACCACCACCACAGCAACCACCACTACCACCACCACCACCACCACCACAACCTACCACCACAAACCACCACCACCACAAATCACCACACCACCACCACCAGCACAGCCACCACCACCACCACCACCACCACAACAACCCACCACCACCACCACAACAACCCACCACCACTACCACCGCCACTACAATCCACCACACCACCATCACCACCGCCACAACCGCCACCACCACTACCACTTCCACAACCCACCACAACCACCACCACCACCACAACCCACCATCACCACCACCACCACCACCATAAACCGCCACACCACCACCACCGCCACAACCACCACCTCACCACACCACCACCACCACCACCACCACGACCACCACCACCACCACCGCCACCACCACCACCACCACCACCACTACCAGCACCACCAAAAACCACCACACCACCACCTCTACCACGGCCAGCACCCCTGCCACCACCACCACCACCACAACCCACCACCACCCACCACCACCACCACCACAACCACAACAAACCACCACACCACCACCGCCACCACCATAACAACCAACAACCACAACCACCACAACCACAACAAACCATCACACCAGCACCATCACAACCACCACCACTGCCACCATTACCACCACCACAACCCACCACCATCACAACCACTACCACCACCACAACCACCGCGACAAACCACCACACCACCACAAACCACCACCACCACCACCACAACACACCACCACCACCACCACCACCACCACAACTACCACCACCACCAGAAACCACCACACCACCACCACCACCACCACCACCGCCACAACCACCACCACCACCACCACCACAGCCCACCACCACAACCTCAGAGCGGCACCAAGAGACGCCCTAGAGGCGCCCAGGAGGCTTCACAAATGCCCTTCAGAGGCCCCCGAGAGCCCTCCGACGAGACCCCAAGAGGCATCCATTAGGACTCTGACCCATAACCAAGGCACGGTGGCGGAGCGTAGTCGTCGTCGTCCTCGTCGACGCTCCCCACCGCCGCCGCCAGCCGCCGCAGGCACCGGCGCTGGCCCAAAAAAGGAACTCGTCGTCTTCATCGACGCTCCCCGCCGCCGACGCCAGCCGCCGCCGGTGCCAGCGCCGGCCCGATGAGAGGGAGAGAGGAGAAGTTGGGGAGGAGGGAGGGGCGAGGGGGGGTCGTTCGAACCCCCCCCCTTCAATCCAGGGGACGGGGGGCCGGTTCCAACACCCCCCCCCCCCTCCAAGCGCCCACAGAACGCGCTCTTCCCACCATTCTTATCACCATCACCTTCACCACCACCACCACCACCACCACCATCACCATCATCTCCTCGTCCCTCCTCCTCCTCCTCCCTCCTCCTCCGAGTCCGACCAGCCATAACTGGGGGAGCTGTGGCCCTTACCCCCCTGGGAGAACCCATCGCCTCGACGAGCTCTCGAGAGGGGTGTCGAGATCGATGGGCCCCCCAGGGGGGTAAGGACCACAGCTCCCCCAGTTGTGGCTGGCCTGCGAGTGGGGCTCCCGCAACCCGAGGCGCGACAGCCGGTGGGGTGGTTCGGCACCACCACCGCCACCACCACCACCACCGTCACCATCATCTCCTCTTCCCTCCTCCTCCTCCGCCTCCTCCTCCTCCTCCCCCTCCTCCTCCTCCTCCTCCTCCTCCTCCTCCTCCTCCTCCTCCTCCTCCTCTCCTCCTCCTCCCTCCTCCTCCTCCCTCCTCCTCCTCCTCCTCCTCCTCCTCCTCCTCCTCCTCCTCCCCTCCTCCTCTCCTCCTCCTCCTCCTCCTCCTCCTCCTCCTCCTCCTCCTCCTCCTCCTCCTCCTCCTCCTCCTCCCTCCTCCTCCTCCTCCTCCCTCCTCCTCCTCCTCCTCCTCTCCTCCTCCTTCCTCCTCCTCCTCCTCCTCCTCCTCCTCCTCCTCCTCCTCCTCCTCCTCCCTCCTCCTCCTCCTCCTCCTCCTCCTCCTCCTCCTCCTCCTCCTCCTCCTCCTCCTCCTCCTCCTCCTCCTCCTCCTCCTCCTCCTCCTCCCCTCCTCCTCCTCCTCCTCCTCCTCCTCCTCACCCCCCCCCCTCTCTTCCTCTTCTCCTCCTCCTCCCCCTCCTCCTCCTCTCCTCCTCCTCCTCCTCCTCCTCCTCCTCCTCCTCCTCCTCCTCCTCCTCCTCCTCCTCCTCCTCCTCCTCCTCCTCATCATCATCATCATCATCATCATCATCCTCCGAGTGGGGCTCCCGCGACCCGAGGCGCGACAGCCGGCGGGGGGGCTCGGCTCCGGCCTCCTCGGTCGGGCCCGCCGCCTGGACGAAGTCCCCTGCCGGAGCGGCCGCGCGGGGGGAGGAGGAGGAGGAGGAGGAGGAGGAGGAGGAGGAGGAGGAGGAGGAGGAGGAGGAGGAGGAGGAGGGAGGAGGGAGGAGGAGGAGGAGGAGGAGGAGGATGGAGGAGGAAGAGGAGGAGAGGAAGGAGGAGGAGGAGGAGGAGGACGACGACGACGAGAAGGAGGAGGAGGAGGAGGAGGAGTTGGAGGAGGGGGGAGATAGGAGAGAGGAGAGAGGAGAGAGGCAAGCTAAGTGCTAAGTGTGCTAGCGCCATATCTGACATCCTAGCCCTGCCACCCTTCCCTTTCCATTGCGCTTTTTGTTCCCCTATGTGTGGACGCGTGTCACAGCGGAACTGGAACTCCGAAGGAGACCACACCGTGTCGTGCGCACCGGAAAACGAGGGCTGCGCACACTGGAGGAACAGGAGGCGGTGGCGGAAGAGCACGAGGACAAGAAGGAGGAAGGAGGAGGACGAGGACGAACGGCAGCAGCAGCAGCTGGAGTGAAAGGGGCGGGAGGAAGAGGAGGACCAGGGGGAAGAGGGCGACCACGGCGAGGAAGATCTCGGATTCGGAAGAGTGGCCCGCGCTGGGGCGAAAGCGCCATCCTGAACGGGAGCAAAGCGCCGATCCTGAAATGAGGCCAACGCTGCAGCGCAGCGGTCTTGCGGGAATAGCAGCAGCAGCAGCAGCAACAGCAGCGACAACAACAACAACAACAACAACCACAACAACAAGAACAACCAGAACAACAAGAGCGGCAATAATGACAACAACAACAGCAGCAGCAGCAACAACAACAACAATTACTAGCACGTGGGGACACACCGTTCTCACCAGTGCCAGGGTTTTCATAGGAGGCGGGCAATACCCCCACTTTGTGGGGGGGCCGGTTCAAGCTCTACCAAATTTCCAAACGACTCTTCGCCACCACCCACACCCAGCTTCCCGCCCTATGACGTTCGGACACTTCACTTCGTGGCATGCGGACGACCGTGGCTACTATTCAGGGCCCCGCGGCCGACGACGACGGCGTGCGCGCGCGAAGAAAAAACGAATGTGTCCCGCATGGTATTATTTGACAGGGATGATGGCCCTGGCAGGTGCGCAACCGTTGTCGCAGAAGTTCGAAAAAGTTGCTCGCAAAAGCCCGTTTGACAGAAATGTTTAAAAAGTGTTGGGTTTCCTACGAATCCGCAAGAGCGCGCGGGATGAGATTTTGACAATTTTTTGTTGAAAAACCATTGGTTTTTTGATGTTTTTATGTTAAAATCGCTGCGAACACTAAGGTTTTGGAAGGATTTCGTCTTGCGCGCGCGAATGTCCACTTTACCTTATTTTTTGCAAGGGATTCTTGAAGTTTGGTTATGTTAGAACAAGAAATGTCCACTTTAGCTTATTTTTTGCAAGGGAAAACCGATCGTAACAACACAACCGGATCCGGACCAACCCGTTTTGCCTGAGACTTCCTCACGAAAATGATGAAAATGAGGCTGCGGCCTAGGCGCGGCGGGGGGGTCGTGCACCAGGGGTCCCAACAATAATTATTCTTTAGAAGTAATAATGTTCAACAACAACAACAACAACAACAACAACAACAACAACAACAACAGCATCAACGACGACAACAGCAATAACAACCATAACAACCAGAACAACATCAACAATAACAACAACCACAACAACTACAACAAAAACAACAACAACAACACCAACAACAACAACAACAACCACAACAACAACAGCAGCAGCAACAACGACAGCAGCAGCAACAACAAAAACTATAATACAAAAGGCAGCAATAACAATACCAGCCACAACAACAACCACAACAACAACAAGACCCACACCAACAAGCACAACAACAACAACCACAACAGCAGCCACAACAACAAGAACAGAAACAACGATGACGACAACAACAACAATAACAACAACAATGACAAAACACTCCGATGTGAGTCACTACTCAAAACAAGCCAGACCATAAAGCCCTGCGCAGAAGAGATGGAGGTCAACGGGAGAGGCGGCGCCCGCTCGCGCAGCATCTGAGGAGAGCAGTGCCCACACTGACCGGCAACTGTGGCGAGAGGAGAGAGGAACGAGGAGGAGAGAGCAGGAGAGAGGGGCAAGAGGACCAGCTAAGACGAAGCCAGGACGAGGATAAAATCGGGTGAGGATACATCGAGAACCTCTGAGATCTGGCGGCTCTGGAGGGTGTATCGGGCGTCGCGGCCTTCTCAGAGCGTTCGGGGACGCTCTGAGAGCGTTCTGTAGTGGAGTGATCCTCGTCCTAGCCCCGCCCGAGAGCAAGAGGATCAGCGCAACCCCATGACGCGTCAACGATGCTGGAACGCACCCTCCTGTCCCAAGGCCCCTCCCGAAAACACCCTGCGAATCCGCCGACCCTGTCGGCGAGAGCGAGACGCCGTCGTCGTCGTCGTCGTCGTCGTCGTCGTCGTCGACGGCGCCAACGTCGACGTCGTCGTCGTCGCCGTCTCAAGTCCCCTCCGGAAAAATCCTTACACATCCTCTTTCTGCGGGAAGCGCCCTCGTGGAGCGACGAGCGCCTGCTACGCCTGCCGCTCGAGCGACAGTCCCGTCTGGTAAAGGCTCCGCCCTCCAGCCTGCCAGCTGCAGGGAACGCAGACAGGTTGGACTATCAAACTCGAGGGGATGTCCAGCGATAGCCCTGTCTTGAGAAGGCTGTGCACTTCATCTGCGTACCGAGGCACGAACTCAACCTCCTCACAATCAAACTGGCGAAGGCAAATCTGCTCTCCATCCGTGCAGCTGTTGCAGAACTTGCAATTCCGGGCCACAATCAAAGAACCTGGGAAAATCTCGAACGACAACCGCACTTTGAGAACGAACCGGCCTCCATCCGTGTAACTGGTGGATACGATTAAACCGAACGTGCGCGGCGCTAAGACGAAAGCCGCATTTTGAAAACGATTGGCCCTACATCCTTGAAACAGCTCGAAAACTGTAATCCGAATGTGCGCGGCGCTATAACGAAAGCCGAAGTTTGAAAACGACTGGCCCTCCATCCTTGCAACTGCTCGAAACTTTTGAAACAAGTGAGCGCGAGACTAAGGCGAGAGCCACATTTTGAAAACCACGGGCATTTCATTATTGTAACTGCTGGAGTTCGTTTAGCTTCCGGATTAAACACAATATGGAAAACTCAGAAGAAACGCCCGGCCGGACCTTCGGACATGCGTGGTGGTGCGACAGGGGGAGGTACTTGAAAGGAAGAGGATGGAGGAATAGGAGGAGAGAGGAAGATACAGTTGATAAGTGATGGCTTAGCAGCAACAATCAGTTTAAGACTGTTCGCTCTTATCTGTTCGCCTGCCGTTCAACACTTCTAATCAGCCCAAGCCCTCGATACCCGCCCTCTTCGTTTCATACCCCCTTGAGAGTAGACCTTCCTTAACTGCCACGTGTAGTTGGCGCAGCCCCTAAAACAGGGAAAGGTGTGTTGGTTTCGACGCTGATTCAGCAGTGAGCCTCAGCAGAGGCCAGCACGTAACTTGCATAACATGAATGATATAACAACTCTGCTGGGGCACCTGGGCCAAGTAAAGCAGGCAGACAGTACCAGCTGGCAGTAAAGCAAGCTGCCTTTCAGCGCAGCCGACTTTGACGGTCATTCGTAGTATCTGAGTGGGAGAGCTACCTTCACCCCAGCACGGCAAGAACGAGACAACAGTGGAAACAGGGCGGCTATCACTGCGCTTTGGGAGAGGGTAGGAAAGTCACCGCGGCTGTCAGTGCATGGCCAGGCGTGAGAGCAAAAAACAGGCTGCGGTTTACAAACTGGCATGTCGCGACGCGGTGCAGGAGGCCAAAATGGGGCGCCTGCCACAGCTCATTGAATACCTGAGTGGGCAAGTTATCTTCTCCCCGTGTCACGGCAACAGACAACAGCGGCAATCTCCGCACTGTGGGGGGAGGAAGGCGAGCACTTGCAGCTCGAACGGTGCGCCACCAATCCCGTTGGACTGTGGCGCCGACGGCGCACGTCTGCTGCTGGGTCTGGGCGGGCACAGGGCCACAAGGCTGTGTGCGACGTGACCGCCAGCCAGCAGCCATGACCATGAGCACCGCCAACTGTCTCTACAGCTGTCTCTACCTCACCCTGTTCCCCTTTTAGGAGGCACGGGCTCAGCCGCAGGGAGCCGGTGGGTCATGGGACACAACCGTACACATGTCTGTCAAGAGGCTGGCAGAAGCCAGGAGGGCTTCTGGTAGCGGTCCTGATGACCCGTCCGCATGGCCCCCGTCCCCGCGAGCGGACGCAGCTGGCGAGGAGCACACGTGTGGTCGGGCAACCAGCTGAACGTAAGAGCGGGCCAGTTCTCTTCACCCTTGCCACGGCACGAAGCGAGACGACGGCAGACAGGCAGCGGCTCTCAGAACTGTCGGGCGACGGCAGGGCCAACGACGAGACGAGCGGGGTGCGAAGCAGGAGAGCGGCGCGCGACGGCAACGGCAGCGACAGAAGCAGCGGGCGCGGGGTGCGTCCCTGGCTCAGGCTGCCAATCGACTCCCACGACTGGGTAGACTGCCATATGTCCAGCGTCTCCTGGCTCACGACGTACCACTGCCCCTTGGGTGGAGGGGGAGGCACGGGAAGGAGGTAGGGGGAGGGAGGGAGAGGGAGGGGCGGGGGGAGGGGAGGGGAAGGGGAAGCAGGGAGTGGGGAGGGGAGGTAAAGAAAAAGAAGCACGCAGTTCCAAGGGCGCCTTTCTCGCGACAGGGCTGTCGCGCTGCCTGGCTGCCGCACCGAAGTGCGGGCCACCGGGCCCCAGGGCCAGAACCCCCCTTGGACCCCCGTGCCAGCTCTCTGCCCTCATCCTGCACACAGAACCGACAGACAACCGCGTCACTCATCGAGCTTTTGTGTAACACCAAAGCCCGCGCCCTTCGCTTGCGACACTCTGATCGTCGTCGATGTGTATATGTGTATCGGAGGTGAGGGGGTGAGATCGAAGTGGAACGGAGAGCCCCCCTACCGGGAAATCGATTTCGGTTTCGTGTTCGTGCGTGCCGTGCGCGCGGGCGAGGCGAAGCTGCGTGGGCGGGCGAGAGGAAAATCTCCTGTGGCTGAGGCGCGGCCGGACCAAATATGTCTCTTCCCGGCGGCCGGTGGCGCGCGGTGTCCGGCCAGTGTCCCGCTGGTGTCCCGTCGGTGTCCCTGTGGCTGAGGCGCGGCCGGACCAAATGTGTCTCTTCTGGGCGGCCGGTGGCGCGCGGTGTCCCGCCGGTGACCCGCCGGTGTCCCGCGGTGTCCCGCGGTGTCCCGCGGTGCCCCGCGGTGTCCCGCCGGTGTCCCGCTGTGACCCGCGATGATGATGATGACGATGATGATGATGATGATGATGATGGGATGATGATGATGATGATGATGATGATGATGATGATGATGATGATGATGATGATGATGATGGTGATGGTGATGGTGGTGGTGGTGGTGATGGTGATGGTGATGCTGATGATGACGATGATGATGCTGCTGATGATGATGATGACTATGATGATGGTGATGCTGATGATGATGATGACGATGCTGATGATGATGATGATATGATGATGGTGTCCCGATGATGATGATGATGATGATGATGATGATGTCGATGATGATGATGATGATGACGATGATGATGATGATCATGCTGATGGTGTCCCGATGATGAGGATGATGATGATCATGATGATTATGTTGACGATCATGATGATGACGATGATGGTGTCCCGATGATGATGAGTATGATGATGTTGATGTTGATGATGCTGAGTATGATTGTGTCCCGATGATGATGATGATGTTGATCATGATGACGTTGATGATGATTATGGCGTCCCGATGATGATGGTTGTTCTGATGGTGATGATGATGATGTTGATTATGATGGCGTCC